TTTTTCACACATGATGTTCAAGCAAACAAACTCTCATGATCTCATGAAAAATCATGCTATCTTTGAGCAAACTAACTCTTGCATTATTACGAGTTCACTTACGATGTCCGAGCAAATAAGTTCCCGCATTCTTACAAGTTCATGTGCAATGTTTGAGCAAACGAGCTTTCATGATGTCATAGAAAATCATGTGATCTTCAAACAAACAAGCTCTCACATTCTTGCGAATTCATATGCAATATTCGAGCAAACAAACTTTCACATTCTTACAAGTTCATGTGCGATGTCTAAGCAAACGAACTCTTGTGATTTCACAAAAAATCATGCGATTTTTGAGTGAACAAGCTCTCATATTCTTACAAATTCACACATGATGTTTGACCAAATGAGCTTTCATACTTTTATGAGTTCACACACAAAGTTTGAGCAAGCAAACTCTCGCATTCTCACGAAAACTCACATAATCTCCAAGCAAGCAACCTCACATATGTAAACACACAACAAAAATATCAAAACCCAACAAATCACCTTAAGAAATTCAATCCAGCATATCAAACATCATCATCACACACTAAAAAAAACACTTAAAAAAAAGAGGCCTACCCCCACCCTCTCAATTGTCAACATCATCAGAAGCCTTGCTCGCGCCATCATGCCTTTCTCACTAGAAGCCCTGACAACAGTTGACTCCTCCATGTCATCCTCGTAAGCCATAAATACGTCTTCCCACTCATCAAATGACTCCTCCATGTCATCCTCGTAAGGAAGGTCAACCTCCTTGACAAACTCACCATCGATAACATCAAAATCAACATTCAACATCCCACAAGGAAAATTCTAACACATGAAACACCACTTGCTAAACGACCCTCTAGAAATTGTGAGCATGCTCCTCAAATGCGACATTCTCTAACAACGTCAAATGAGCTTGACGATCCCTAATATGGGATAACAACAATGATCACTCAAAAGTTAAATTTTCCACCTCCTTAATGTACTTATCACACCCTCGCAAAGCCACATTATTTTGAACAGTAAGCTTCACAACACGGGTCACTAACACGTCCCTCCTCTTACTTAAACACTACCTCTCATAGTTCAAGCACTCCTTCTCAATCTCTAGCCGCAAAAAAGTCATGGCCAAAGCCACCCTCTCTGGCTAACTATTATTTAACTTGGCACACATAATGTTAATCTCCACACTCAAGGCCTCAATCTCCCTATGACTTGTGCCTCCATCTCATGATGAAGCACAATCGACCTTAGCTTCAGAATCGTTACTCTTTGACATCGTATGCAAGAACCCTACATAAAACAACCAATTAGAATCACTACAAGATATACCTTGCACAAACACCCACAAAACACCACAACAAATAAACATACCTCATTGCTCCAGAATGCAAGAAGCAACCTACCAAACAAAGAACAAACAAGAATGGAAATTCTCGCCCTATTTAACCATAGGAATCATCACTAATCAAAAGACCCAAAATCCTAAGGCAACACATTACATTTACTGCTGATTAATACATGAGAAAAATTATTGACAACTCACATTAAATGCAACATGTACGACCAAGATAGAACAATAGAAAAACTCTCTTACCTAAAAGAGCTCGGAGCTTAGGGGCTTATGTACCATTATGAATTGCCTAGCCCGACGAAACAACTACACTTATAACTCTCTCAACTTAAAGAGCTTGGAGGTCAGGGGGCTTAGGTACCCCCTAGCTTGACTAGGCCAAGCTAACCTCCTTTTTCTTGCCCACATTAGGCCTCCAACCAATTACCATAAAGTAAAGCCTTAGACATTTAACTCCTAATGGTTACCAGGATATCTTGGCATGAATATCCTCACACAATCACTAGATTGTATCTTCAAGATATCATATAATATTATCTCCGTGTATCATATCTTCAAGAATAATATTCCTACTTATCAATAAGAATATCTCCTAAAATCATACAACATTACCTTTAAGCCTAGAGATAAAATCAATTACCTATATATGGGGTACTAGGTATCATTCTACCATAATTTTATTCTTAACCTAAATTTCTCTCTAACTTGAGCGTTAAAGTGTCTTTACAGGTGTTCCCATCATTATGATTATCGGGCGATTAGAAAGTCATCCTATTATCAGAACACTTGTAAATTCTAGTAAGAACAATATGTTTTTAATTTCTCAATTTTAGGATAAATTTGTTTTTGGTATCTCAAATTTAAAACTATTAGTTTTAGTTCCTATAATTTTCAAAACTCTTGTTTTAGTCCCTCAAGTTACTAATAATGTATTTGAAAAAAATAAATTAAGACAACTATGTAGTATCAGTTAGGTTAAATATGATATTTTCACTATCAAAGACACCCGTAAATATATTTTATATGACAATTATTTGACAGATTTTCTAACAAAATTTGAGTATATAGACTAAAAAAGGGTTTTTTGAAATTATAAAGACTATAAAGATCAATTTTAAATTTAAAAGATTAAAAATAAATTTATTTTAAATTTGAAAAAATAAAAACATATTTAAGCCAAAATACAATCAAAATTAAATGTTGCAAATAAAAATATTTCAAATTTACTTTAACAATAAAAAAAAACAAAGAAAAACATGTTTAACAATCACCACTTCTAATATTTGATTTTTAAAATTATACGACTTGTATTTTACATGTTGTCTTCGTGAAACACAATTTATCCCTTTTTCAAAAAAAATTAAAAAGTTGCCCATTTTAAAGTTTTGTAACAAAATTATACCATTATGTAAAATGTAACTTGTCACAAGTCTCAAGCATCTTCTCGTGGCTCACCCCTACTTGGACGGAGAGTGTACGTAGCAGGAGTATCATTTTTCTAATGAAATGAAAACATTGCATAATAGGAACGCGGAGAATTTCGACGACGCAGTAATTAGACGGTCTACTCTTACCGATTGACCAGTATGACTATTGACTATTGGCAAGCATTCTCCACGTTCCACAACATGTTTCATATTTTATTATTTCTATTTCCACACTTTCTCAATCTCACCGTCCACCCAGACTTTGACATCAGTTAACTAAGTTTTTTTTAATCCTAAATCTTAAAATTTAGTCTTAAATATAAATAAATTATGTTAAAAAAAGAGAATATTTACTTTATATGTTATTAAGGTATTTGATAGTTTAATCACTACTTGTTGTTAGGGTTTAGAGATAATAAAAAAAATTCACAAAATCAAATATAAATAATAAATTATTAGTTTAAATAGATACTTGTAGGTAATATTTAAGTTTTTTTTTACTTGTGTATAAATATAGCAGAATGAATATAGTAATATTTATACTTTTGGACAAGATCGTCTTTAGAACTTATTTGCAGGTGCAATCATCTAGGACCTATGATTAAAAAGGACCCATTTTATTAAAACTATACAATTGTAATAAAAAATTTATATTAATTTTTAAAAAATTAAAATTATGATTTTTTATATGTTTTTTTGTATTTAAATATTAAATGATATGATTTGTAATATCTTGTTATCTTTATTGTTAATTTTTTATGTATTATATTTATAAAAGGATAAAATATATTTTTACTCTTTCTAAAATTTTTCAAGTTTAGTTCTAATCTCTTCATTTATTTTTGTTTTATTTTTGTACTTTTAATTTGGTGATGCATTACTTTTGATCCTTAAATTTATTTGTATAATACTTTATAATAAAAGATAATCTAAAAGTAAATTGAATAAAAAATATAACATATCTATTTTAGACCTGTTAACATTATTATTTCTTTAATGTAATAAAACGTGTTATTTTTTATTAAATATTTAATAATTATGAACCTTTTGAAAATTTTTAGTTAGATCTCTAAATTAAAAAAATTATAATTGAGTTATTAATTATTTCTTAATTTAGTCTGTGAGACTGGAGATTTGTTTATATTTTTATATTTGCACAATCATCTCAAGTTATTATTTCATGTATAATTTTATATGTCTACCGAATTTTAATCTAACTATATAAAATGTTTCATAATCTCCTTAATAATAAGAATTTTAGAATAGTAGAAAATTTTATTTTGTGGGATTTAAAATCTAATATACATGAATGATGACATTAAGTAATAATCTAATATAGTTATTTGAGTGCGATGAAATAAAAAAATATTATTTTAAATTAAATATCAAGGAGTATTAGTGAATCTTTAATGGTAGGGACTAAACTTAAGGATGAAAGACTAAATTATAAATTTATTTAGTTTTTCGTAATTCATTAGAATTACAATGACGGTACCAGGTTCAAATCTAGGACTCTGAGCAAACTATCGAAACTCTCTACCATTAGGTCAATCCTAGTGATTGAAAGTTCTTTAGTTTAAGACCTAATTAATTATTTTTTTAAAAAAATACATATATTGAGTGATATATTAAGTCTTAATTAAATCATACATCTATTTTTATGTAATAAATATTTACTTTTCAAGTTATTTATATATAACAATTGATATTTATTGTTTTGTTTATGATCCATGAAATGTTAGGACCAATTCTGTCCACAAAAATCTATTTAATAAAATTACTTAAATATCCATATATTTATCTTGTACTTTTTATATTATTTTTAATATTTTAATAAAATTAACATTAAATAAAAATTTAAAAATTAATATTAATTATTTATCTTTAATATTTTATAAAAATAATATTAAAAACAAATTTAAATTTATTTATAATAATTTTTTAATTTTATAAAATTCAAATATATTTAAATATCTATAAATATATACTAATATTTATAAAATTTGTGAATACCATTTAACAAATAGAAGACAAATTTTAATAAGTCCCTACTAGTACTACTCACCTCTAGTGAGCCCTTATCATCCCTACTTCAACAACTATTTCGTACAATTGTCACGATCAAAAAATAATGATAATAATAATAAAAGAAAAACCGTCCACCGATTCTCCCTCTAGTCCCACTTCTTAGTTCTTATATATACACTACTTTACACCACTTTTCTTAGCACGCATCTCATCACAATCCACTTCCTTTCATCACATCACATCCTAAACAAAAGTAATACTGTAACCAATTATGGCATCATCTTCAACCTTAGCTTTGAGAACCATCTCCTCTTTCTCTGTGAAACCCTCTTCCACCACCCCAAAATCATCACTCACCACCTTCTTGCCCTTCACTTCATCAAACCCCTCTTCTTCTCTCTCCAAAACTCTCAAACTCAACAGCACCTCTTCCCCACACTCACTGCCCCACAAGTCTTTCACTTGCAGAAGCCAGGCTGAACCATCATCTCACTCAGGTACATGTTGTCATGTTCTAATGTTCTATGCCCCACATTGAAGATCTGTGTGATCTGCTTCATCCTGTGCTCACCCTTTTGGTTTTTTTGCTTGATCTTGCAGCCAAAGTACAAGAACTTAGTGTCTATGAGATCAATGAGAGAGATCGTGGAAGCCCTGCTTACCTTAGATTGAGCCAGAAAACTGTAAATTCCCTTGGTGATCTTGTCCCCTTCAGTAACAAGGTTTGTTAATTTGTTTTTTTTTTAATCATTTTATTAGTGATAAGAATATATCCATCACTAATATCTACGAGAGAATTTAACTGACATGATTACCTTTAATGATTTTCTTTTTCAACTACAAAACTCAAAATTGAGAAATTAAGAGCAAAAACAAGAAATGGGTCTGTATGATTTGTCTTTGTTCAATAATAGCAAATTTTCTGAGCCGTTGTTCATTTTGCATAAAAACTTTCATTTTAGTGGTAAAAGCATTTTTATTTGTTTTTTCCAGTTTACCTATTTATAGTTTAAACTTCAAAGTTTCCTTTTTTTTCCTTTGCTATGTTAAAGTAAAAGGTTGTTCATGTTTGAATATGGGTCCCTTTAATTAATTTTGCACGCATTCACGCATTTTGCAACTTGGAACTACCGGATAAAGATTAGATGACTCATATTTTTATTTAAGTAAACCAGTTTTAAATTTTGAGTTATTTAATCTTCATATAACAGTTACAAATGTAGTAATTGCCTGAATGTGAAAAACTTGGTTATTCTGAATCTGATTCTGTTCATTTGATTGTTCAATTTTGTGTGATTATTGAATTATTTTCATTATGGATGATGCAGTTGTACTCTGGATGCCTGCAAAAGAGGGTTGGTATAACAGCAGGAATTTGTGTTTTGATCCAAAACAAAGCAGAGAAGAAGGGAGATAGGTATGAGGCAATCTACAGCTTCTACTTTGGGGACTATGGTCACATTTCAGTGCAGGGTTCTTACCTGACCTATGAGGACACGCTTCTTGCTGTGACTGGTGGATCTGGCATCTTTGAAGGGGTGTATGGCCAGGTCAAGCTGCACCAGATTGTGTTCCCCTTTAAGCTGTTTTACACGTTTTATCTAAAGGGTATCAAGGACTTGCCTCAGGAGCTTCTTTCCAAGCCCATTGAGCCCAGCCCAGGTGTTGAGCCCAGCCCAGCTGCCAAGGCCTGTGAACCACATGCTGTTATTGCTGGCTTCACTGAATGAGGATGAACATTTTTTTTTGTTCTCTTCATTGTTGACTTAGTTTGAAGACATTGCTACATGTTCACAATTTAACCACCGTTTTCTTTTGTTCAAGTTTATGTAAGTGTTGGTCAAGATGGTAGAGTTTTTGTTGTTGAATAAAGAAAGGGACTAGTGAGGTAATTGGGTTTTGTCGTGGTGGAGCAATGGGAATTTAGAGAAGCATGTGCTTTTGTTAATGTAGTAGATGAGTACTTAGCGGTGGGGACCATATATTCAAGAAACTGTTGTGCTGAATGTGCAATTATTGTTGTTGAGATAATGTTCATCTTCCAGAATCATGTAGTTTAAATTTGTTAAAGATTTAATGGATTTTTAAGATTGATTTTGCCTCGTAGAACCTCTTTCATGTCTCACTTATGTATATGATAATTGTAATAATATATATCCTTTAGTGTGGTTTTTCGTGTCCATGTAGAAATATTTAATTTAAAATATATTTATGCCATAAAGTTTCTATCCGACACTGAGGATAGCTTTCAGAGTCATTCTTCAAGGAATGTTTCTCAAATGTATGATGAGTCATATAGCAAAGAAAAAACAAATCCTCTAAGTATTAAGGCAGCTTTTCCTTAACTTTCTGATTGTCTGATGTAGTAGGCATTGGACGAGTACCTTCAATGAAGAACTGGGTCCATGGCTGAATCATCCATGGCCTGTATGGCTTGCTAAACATGGTAGGCAGACTTGAGGAAGATCCATAGGAAAGCTCTACAACAGCACAAGTCATTCTCAATAATTGAATATCCAGATGTTGTCTCTTTAAGAAGTTGAGAGTTTGACCATCTACCCAAGGTGGGTTAGATAAGTCAACCTCCACATGAACACGCTTTACAGATTGTAGACGTTCAATGATAAGCGGCTGGGAGCATCTCGTAGACATTGGCTCTCAAAAGTATTTGAAATCTATTAGGTGAGTGGTGAAAGCCAAGTTATGGGGAGAGGGGCTCCAACTTCCATCGGAGTCCATGGTTACCTCCTCAAGTAAACACTCCATTTTAGAGTCTACACCGTCTGATATGGATTCTATAGCGTCTGATGGTGGAATGGCCAAAATGAAGTCCTCAGGTGGTGCTGAGGAAGAGGGCTGAACCATTGAGTTGTCAAATTGAGAGATGCAAGAGAGAGTACTTCAATTAACACTACTAGATCACTGTCACGCATAAGTTCCACAAGAGTGGGGAACTATGGTGCCCCAATGAACTGTTGGCCTCAATGGTAGAATCCAACTATAGGCCTTTGCTTTAGCTTCATTGGTTGTAGAGGGAACTTCCTCCTCGTCTAACACCTAATCTTTAATAATTGGACCATCAACATAGTTTGTCTATGCTTTAGACGACTCTACAACAATTGTCTTCGGAGGTTCCGCTTCAACAATTGGAACAGGTAGGTCTACAAGAACTCCTTGGAAGAATAAGTCTATAGATGATGACTTTTCTTGAGTCAAGTCTACTAACTCTAGCTGAGCAACTGGTTCCTCAAGAACCTTAGTGGGTGCCTCCAAGTCCTACACTTTGTCTATAGCCGTAGTTGATGCACTAGGCTCCTCTTGAGCAAGAGAGGACGAAGCTTGTCTTCCAATCTATGGAGAAGATGGCTTGCACAAGGACATCTTCAAAGCAATTTCCAATTGTTCCTACTCTAAGGAGGTGAAGGTTGCATCAATGACAACCTATTGTTAGGCTGTAGCAATAGAGAATAGTTTGGCCTTCTTCACTTTCGTGTCTTCCTTTGTTAGAAGCTTGAAGCCTCGCACCAAACACTTCTTCTTTGGTTGAGGGTCAATTAGAGGTGTAGGTTGGGTAGGTGGAGTTGGTGGTTTGTGTGTAGGCTGAGGAGGTTGAGATGGAGCTATTGGAGGTTTGGTAGTGGTACTGGTGGTGATGGAAGATGGTTTGGATGGGTGTGATTGAGAGGCTAGGGTAGTAGTAGACGAAGGAGTCTTACGTTTGAGAAAAGGTGCCTCATTATTTGAGGGGATGTCAGTGATTTGAAGGGTTTTGGGAACCTGTTGATGAGGTGGTCAGCGTTCAGGCTTGGGTTGTGGAGATGGTGGGTTAGATGAAGAGGTGGATGAGGGTGATTGGAGTTTTGGTTGGGTAAGGTTTGGTTCATGGATGGTGATGGTGGTGCGACGCTTCTTATGCAATTGTTGTGCTTTGGTTTTGCTTTTGACCTTAGCGAAGAGGTGAGCAATCCTCATTTGCTTTAAGGTGGTCACATTCACCTTGCCATTCTCTAGCTCTTTCTTGTAGCTAGCCAAGTCTATACTATAGTGTTCAAGGATCTCGGTGAAGAGCATGGCATACGGAATTGGAGCTTGCTTCATTCGATCATGGTCCCTTTTGGCTAGGTAGGTCTTCCAATGAAGGTAAATAAGGTCAGGTAGATTTACCTTGTCCCCGACTAAGATCTTGTATAGATAGAACCTGTCAACGTCTGTGACATGGTCTCGCAACCCAATGTGAGGGAGGAAGATGTTGAAGAGAAGGTTGTGGAGCACTCTACAGACTGACTTCAGGTAAGCTTGCTTGAGAAACTTCTTCAAGTATCCTTATGAGGTGGGTTGAGGCCTATTTTGGTAAAGCAAGACATCTACCATTATTGGAGCCAGAGCAACCTCCCAATCTTCATCATATCTCTCCGGTTCCTTTGTCAGCTTGGTGACAAATGCAATGACCACGGGAGAGATCTTGACCACTGTTTCTTGAACGCGCCGAATAATGGCTTTCATGTATTGTGTAGTGAATGCCTAGAAGTAAGCGTAAGGCGTGTGGAACCAGTCCACCTTCAACAATGCATAATTTGTCTAGTCAACAAGGTCCAAGAAATATTGGACGAGATAGCCACCATCTTGTAAATCAATTATGGCTATGGTATTTTCAGGGAGGAAGACATCAAATGGGTACTCCTCCATTGATACTTTTCGGCCAAAGGGTGCTGCTTTGGGTGCCATTATTGTGTTTGTAATGTGTTTGGAAAAAAGGTTGCAAAGAAAAGCTGGAGGTAGGAGAAAATGAATAGGAACAAATTTTTCAAAACAAAGGGAATGACAATTTCAAAAGGCTATTTATAGGCTAGGGGAATGAGATATTAGATGGTTTCTTTTTGGTAGATAGGGTTAGACACGTCGCCTCAACTCCTCTCCCAACATTCTCCATTTTCGATGATTGTGCGCTAATGATGTCTTAGAGCACCTCCAATGGAGGTTGCTTAACCAGTTTCTTATTTGTAAGCACCGTATCTAACAAGAAATTTCCATTGGAGTAGGCTTATGTGTGGCACAATAAGAAAGACTTTTTTTTAGCTCTGTGTCTTGCAGAAGCAACGGTGCTTGCCTGTCTCTGCTCTACTTTCTGTTTTCTTTTTCTTTACTTTCCTTTTCCTTTTCTTTACTTTCCTTTTCCTTTTCTGCTCTAGAGGGTTACTCTTAAAAAGCTTACATAAATTCTTTTTAGACCAGCTACACTTGGAAGTTGGAACTATATGTACCTCTAAATTACTATTTCATCACAAATTTCACAAAAAAAAATATAACCTGTGGAAATAGCTAGCGATTTTTCACTGTACTGTTTCAATTTCTGTATCCTTTACTTGAATATTATTCTGTTTTTAAATTTAATGTTTCTTGCTAATTACTAGTAAAAAAGTGTAGTATGAGTGGTAAAAAAGTGGAGGTACTTATAAGCAATTCCCATTGGAGCAAAAACTGTAAAAATATAATATGAATTGCTTATGAATGACGTGGCACAGTAGGACCTATTTAAAGTGGATGGGAGTTGCTTATAAGCAACTCCCATTGTAGATGCTCTTAGCATTTTTGGTAGTGAATCACATGCCGTTATTATTGACTTCACTGAATGAGGATGAACATTTTTTTTTAGTTCCCTTGACTTAGTTTGCAACATGTTCACAAGTTAGCCACCATTTACTTCTGTTCAAGTTTATATAAGTGTTGGTCAAGATGGTATAGTTTTTGTTGTTGAATAAAGAAAGGGACTAGTGAGGTAATTGGGTTTTGTAGTGGTGGAGCAATGGGAATATAGAGAAGCATGTGCTTTTGTTAATGTAGTAGATAAGTACTTAGCGGTGGGGACCATATATTCAAGAAACTTTTCTGCTGAACGTGCAATTATTGTTGTAGAGATACTGTTCATCTTACAGAATCATATAGTTTAAATTGTTAAAGATTTAATGGATTTTTAAGATTGTTTTTGCCTCGTAGAACCTCTTTACTTTCCCACTTAATGTATATGATAATATATGCAATAATATGTATCATCTAGTATGTTATTCGTGTCCATGTACGGATATTTAATTTAAAATATATTTTATATAATAATAGATATATTAAAATAAATTATTTTTATTAGTTTTATGTAGTGGCGACAAATTAAATTTGAATTTTGTAGGTGCTTATAAAAAAATATTCAAACACAAGATAAATATTTATCCATAATTTTGAGTCTACGTACGGAGTGAGTATATATCAGTAAGGAGTTCAAGTATAGGTTCCGGTATTATAGTACTAATCTCGTCTTGCACTTGTTATATATTAATATAATTAAATAAATAATATATATTACTTATATGTATATTTATGAAAATTAATTATATTTTTACTTAAAGTAAATATATTTATGACTCAAGTTTAAACAAATAGGTGTTGAATTTGTTTATTTTTAATATTATGTGTATATGCATTTAAGATTATATTTGGATTAAAAAAGAAATTTTAATATAATTGTACCAATTATTTTAATTAATTTTTTTTATTGATGTATTATTGTGGAAAAAGAGTATCGACTCACCAAAAACTTTAATTCATTTACAATTTGACATCCTAATTGTAATCAATCTTTAAACTTTGTCCCATTTATAAAATGTACCATAAACTTTAATTTTTTCTAATTAATCCCTAAATTTTACTTACTTTACAAATAAACACCTTGAATTTTAATTTTATTCTAATTGATATTTATTTATTTATTATCATTTTTACCAATAGTTTTTTTATTAGCATATTATAGCTAAATAATTTATCTTAAATATCAATTATTCATTTTGTTACAATTATTTTTGAAATAGAATAAAAATGAGTTTACAAAGAGAGAATGATAAAAAAAATAATTAAAAAATAATTATTTAATTTTTTAATTTTTAATTTTATGATGTTTTAATATATAGAAATGTGATATGTGTAAATAAAACTAATATATGTTAAAAAAAAAAAACCTAATAAATAAGTGTGATTAAAAATAAATAAATATTTTTTCTTAGTCATTTTAATCCCAATATAATATAAAGATTAGTTAAGAAAGAAATAAATTTAGAGAA